CAGTCGTGCACAGTGATTGAACACTAATGGATGGTCAGCTGCTATCCATCACTCAAATAAACCAGGGCTCAGACCCAGAATGCCTCTCATCAACAACAAACACTGCAGAATCACTGTAGCACACACTGAATGCAAAGCATGCAGTAATTATCACTCATGACATGTGCTTCAGGCTCTTGGAATGATTCTTTCTGATTGGTTCTTGCACAAGGTTTGACTGTATACTCATTCAGAAAAGGGAAAGTGACTTTAAGCCAGGAATCCAAGCACAAAAAGCTCAGACAGAGGGTGCGGTCATATCTGAAGTGGTCATTCCAATGCCGCAGTTTACTATTCAGATATACAGACTGCGAAACAAACGAAATAATGCTCTAAAGATTTCCCCGAACAATCTGTTTGGAACAAACACATTATATTGAAGTTGTAAATCATTATCACAACATATTATTAATCCCAGACAAGGTTATCATGACCTATTGTGGAGTAAATTACATGGCTAATCCCCAAAATTAATAAATATGGGGATATGAAACATCGATTTGAGCTAAAATGATTTTATAATCTTAATTGTATGTTATCATAAAGCTTCTGGTAATAAAAAGTAGTCCATTAAGATGCAAAAAACAATTGACAAGAAGAACACTGCACCAATAGTACAGTAATATTAATGCTAAAGTCCTCTGAAGTAATTTTCTCAACATTAAATAAGAGAGACGCAAGATGGCACCAGCTGGGTTGAATGAAAGAAGAGATGCCAGTCCACAGAGTGATACAAGAGAGATGAAAGTAATGTCAGTTTCAGTTACCCGGATAAACGGACAATATACAGGGTTGCCATCAGGGACGTGCACAAACATTTTGTGGGGCAGGGGCTCAAGTGGAAAAAAGGGCACTTCCCATATTTATTTATTTTTTTCCTAAACAAAATGTTAAATATATTAGGGGTGTGCAATATTGACAAAAATATATCTCAATATTTTCTGTGATTTTATCGATAATGATAATTAGATGATATTTTACTGAGTGTGTTATTGTGCTGATATCTTAAGGACTGCTGTGGACAGCTGACTCCTAAAGTTTTTGATATTCTGCATATTCTGTGTGGTGATCAGTTCACAGCAGTGATAGAAATTAATCTTTTCCAACAAGTTTAAATAGATTTTTACTTTTTATGGGCATTTTTACCTTTATAAAGCCATTTTTTCTAAAAGTGTGCATCATCTTTTCAGTCAAATTCTTAAACTGAATCAGTCAATTAGAATAATAAGTCATTTGGGCTGTTACCAAGCAAATTAATTCAGTAGTGACAAAATTAATCTTTGCAATGCAGAGGAAACACAGAAGCTGCATTAGAAGGGGTTTAATGCAGGACATGAATGTATTTAACCTGCAGTTACGAATGCATTAATACTGTTTTGATATTTTAAACATAAAACGTTAAATACTGATATTTGAAATTATTTCTAAAAATTAAAAGATAGTTTAAATGTGAAATTAAAACTGCCAGTAGGTGGGAGCAAGTCACTTTTAATAAGTGAGTCATTGCGACTGAACCGAATCATTTAAACGGTTGATTCATTCAGGAACAAAACAGTGTCATGTTGCTCAGAAACGCAAATTGGAATTATATTTGTTGGCGAAATAGAGCAAAAACAGTCAATATTGTGTCTAAAACATAAGTGTCTTAATATTAAATTCTTGTTTATTGAACTGTATAAAATCAATACCACATTTGTAATCATACTGCTTTTTGGTGGAAAAAACGTAAGTCTTCGCATTATACTGATTAACTATATGAAATTATATAAATATATAAATTTCTGCCCCCATATCTTAAATTTTGTGATCATTCTAAATGCATTTTAATAAACTGAATCATGCAGTGAAAGAACACGCACTGGTCTAACCTACTAGACATCCTGCCTTAGCTAAACTTTAGCTAACTTACATGGTAGCTCTCATGAGTCATGGATGTAAGCAAGACAAATTAATTATAACTGACTTTTGTCTTTTGGATAATTAGCTGTGAATTCGAGGCACAGGTAGCTTTGTCTTTCGTTTATCACCCCTCACCTCCACACCAAGACAAACACAACTGGAAAGGGAGGGAGGGCATCACTTATAAGGAAGAAAAAGGGCAGGTGCTCAAGCCCCCTTTGATGTCTATGTGTGCACGTGCCTGGTTGCCATGGGTGAAGGTGAAGACCAGAATCAAGATCAGAATCAAGTATCTTTTGAACTTTCTATTCATCAAAAAATCCTTAAAATTGTTTCACAGTTTTCAAAAAAAAAAAAGATTAAATTAAGCAGCACAACTGTTTTCAACATTGATTAAAATAAGAAATGTTTTTTGTGTTCTTAGTGTAGATTCTGTTTCACCATTTCAAATTTTATATACAAAAAGAAAAACTAAGAAACTTTTTTCTTCCCAAGCAGTGCAACACAACTCTCATGTTACTACCACCACCATAAATAAATGCATCAGTTTCAATATCAAGAGAATTAACATAGACAGGATAGAGATAACACCAATTTAAACATATTCTATCTCTAATGCCACAGCTGTTTTACATAAATCTGTACTACTTTAATAGGCTACACTTTAAAGACTATTTCAACAGTTGCACTGCTAGCATGCTTTAGAGATGCTTACTTCATTATATACATTATGTAAAATTACATACAAAGACCTTTACTGTTTGACTACATGCCTTTGTAAGAGTAAACACACATCATCTTTGACATAGTCCTGAGAGAGAAAATGGCCTTTAACCCTTAATTAGATGGGGTCCGGAAAGGCACTTTCTTCATTTAAAATAATCTAAAATGTTGAGATCCAAGTGTTGTAAGTCTTTCAGTGACTCAGAGAGGTTCTTCAAACCATGCACATACAGTAAAAGTGGCTCCACTCACAGAAGCTTTGTTCACAGCGTGCTCTTCACACAGGCCATGTTCAAACCCACAAAATCTGACACAGTAAAACAAGACAGCTGCACAACACTAGCAAACACAATGTTGTTCATACAAACACAACAACATGTTCATACAAAGTAGTGGGAAAGGAGAACAATTTGGCTAAAAAAAACACTCACAAAGGCTGCATTAATTGTTGCTGCATCTGCAAATTATAATCCAGTGCTTCTTTAAAAATGAGATAATCTCGTGGTAAACAGTCTTAAAAACACTAACGTTATCTAACCACGGTCCCGTGGTCTGTGAAGAGAAAGATAAACCTGCTACTGTGTCCTCAACACAACTCCCTTCACTGTTCTGACTGAAGCTCCTCCAGTTATGAACATCTCCTGACAATGAACATTAAGCACACAGCAGGCTGCTTCGCCACATAATGCTACAATAATGTTGTTTCACCCACACTGAAAAACATGGTGTTGAAACAATTTTCACTCCAAAATTGCTAGTAAATTTTGTAAAAAGTACTCCAATAATCTTTGTTTTATTTACTATTCAAAAAATGTTTTTACAGTGTTTATAACACTGTTTGTGTCTTTGTCTACTAAACTAAAGTATATTTTTGAAAATTACAGAATTACGAAAGTGTTAGCTACAATGTTTAAAAAAAAATTGAAATTGAAAATAGTTTAATAAGTAAATGTGACCCTGGACCACAAAACCAGTAATAAGGATCAATTTTTCGAAATTGAGATTTATACATCATCTGAAAGCTGAATAAATAAGCTTTCCATTGATGTATCTGGAATCTGAGGGTGCAAAAAAATCAAAATTTTGAGAAAATTGCCTTTAAAGTTGTCCAAATGAAGTTCTTTTAATAGCTATAATTACTGAAGAAAATTACTTAGAAATGTTTAACTCAGCTATCTGAAAGCCCAATTCTTTTCACTGTCTGTTAATGTTATTCTGCATGTGGGGTGTTGGCTTTGCATTAAAATGTAGTTGAATACTTTCTTGCAATTTGTTTACAAACTTAACATTCATAAGAAATATAATAATCACTGAATTATCGTAGAACCTTTTTTATGATCTGAAGCATAAGTGAATTTGCTTTAAAAATCATTAGAATTAATTACAATCATACTAAGTATTTGAATAGTTGAGCTTGTATCACCCCACATGCAGCATTAAATGTGTTCATTTACATTTACATTCAGTCATTTAGCAGACGCTTTTATCCAAAGCGACTTACAAATGAGGACAATGGAAGCAATCAAAACCAACAAAAGAGCAATGATATACAAGTGCTATAACAAGTCTCAGCTAGATTAACGCAGCTTTTTTTTTATTCTATCATAAATAAAAAGAAAACGGATAGAATAGAAAAAGAATAGAGCAAGCTAGTGTTAGAGGCCTTTTTTGCTTTTGTTAATTGTATAATAAATAAAAAGAAAACAAATAGATAGAATACAAAAAGATTAGAAAAGCTAGTGTTTTTTCAAAGAAAACAAGCAGCAAATGAATAGAGTGCAAGTCTAAAAGGGACACGTTTTTTAAAGAATAGAATTAGAATAGAGTGCTAGAGTTAGAGGATCGAAAAAAAGATGGGAGAGATGTGTTGAAGATTATTATTATATTATATTTAATGACATTAAATATATACGTATATGATTAAATATATGATAATATATGATTTACACCACTTGACAAAAAAACGTTTTTGTCAAAGGAAATTAATACTTTTAATCAGCAAGGATGTGTTAAATTGATCAAAAATGGAAATAACAAAAATGGAAATATATATTGTTAAATTGATCAAAAATGACAGTAAAAACTTTTACATTTAAATCTTCGATGACCAGCTGACCTTCAAAGACCACATTGCATAGCTGCTCGGATTGAGCCTTCACAATGGAAATGCATTACATGCATCTACAACGTTCTCATTCATTTCTCATGGATGAGGAAAGCATCTCGCACATTTTTGCACAAGAATGAACGAACCAGCTTACATCACACTATTCCTGGAATAAACTTTCCCGTTGACTATTTACCTGATACTGTCAGGCTCAATTGAAACTTTGACTTACTTTTGCACGTGAGGACGCTCAGTCCCGCGATCAAGAGCGCGATATAACGGAGGGCCATGTCTCCCTGATCCGAGATTTGATGCGAGGAGAGTGAGTGCGATGGAGAGCTGAAGTCTCCTGTAGATCATCAGATCAGAGAGGGCAGATGTTTGCACTGAGCGCGCGTGAAGTGCGGAGAGACGAGTGGGCGGGACCTAGTGGGCTGCGCCCTGTACTCCACACGGTCTGAAAGCACCAATGCACATCAAACAAGGTATTTAACTATAAAACTTAAGAACATTTTTAAAGAGAACATATCATTTTCATATCAGAATTATGCAGGTGTTTTGCTGGAAACTACGTACGCATGATGTTTGTGAACCCTGAAGAAATTTCTGCATAAATTTCATAAACATCTGCCTGAAAGAATGTGCCCCATTCATTTTCAAACACTGCTTCAATTCAGAGATGCTGCAAGGCTTCCCTGCATAAACTGTTCTGTTGGGGTATGGTTGGGTCTTTGATTTTGCTATTTCAAAACAGTAAAAGGTTGGGTTGTTCTATTGCTGCTGGACTTTCTCCTGTAGCTTCTTCTTTAATAAAGTGAGCAATACTGATACCTAATATTGGCAAATATTAGAGATTTTTTTTCATCTATATACATTAGCCGATATTTTATATACATTTTTATATTTAGATGACCTGACCCTTACTTTAAGTTAATTTTCAAAAACATAAATAATTTAATAACACTGCAAGTAATCTTTAGCAAATTGTAAAATTAATATACTTTTTTGTACTGTATAGTATAATGTTATGATGTTATGAATTTACTTGTAGCATTTGAGTAATTTTAGTTTTATTTTTTATTATTTAAAACAAATGTATATAATAACGATATCAGTATTTTAATATTCCTATTCATATATTTTATTGTATATGAATATTTAGCACATATTGGTCATAACATACAATTATTGGCTTATATCGCCAATAATAACAACCCCCCAGAAATTCTCATTTAAACCAAAAGGTTCTATTTATTAATTAATTGGTCCCACAAAATATACGTCCAACTTTTCTGGCTCATCCAAATCGTCTAGGAGCCATGTTTTTCTTGGAGAGCATTGGCTTCCTCCATGCTATTCTGTCATTTTTTTCAGTTAATCTGATGGTGGACTCAATTACAACACAAACAATTAAAGCAAATCTTACTAGCTTTAGAATAATAAGAAATTGTTTAACAGATGATCATGCTTTTTTGTTTTTAAATTCGATGATATTATCACACATGGTGTATGGATTAGCTATTTGGTCTCAGACAAATCAATCCATAATTAATCAGGTTAAAAGTCTTTACAATAGAGCTTTGAAAATTTTAGATAGAAAGCAAATACGATACCGTCATTGTCAGATCCTAAGTAAATACAAGATTTTGAGCTTTGCTCACTTTGTCTTTTTTCATTATGTAAAGTTTGTGTTTAAATGTTTAAATGGTCTTGCTCCTATGCCCTTATGTACATTTTTCGAGAGATTGCAGGGAAGCAGTAGATCCACTAGAGCAGCTTCTAGTGGAAACTGTAAAGTTATACATTGTAAAACATCATTTGCTTAGACTGTTCTCTCAGTGAAAGGTGTAAAATTTTGGAATTCATTGCCTGACTATTTAAAATCTACTGTAAATTATAATAATTTTAAGAAAGCCACGAAATATTGGTTGATACATCAACAAACCTGTAGTCATGTTTAGTGTACTTATATTATAAATTTGTGTACTACTTGTTTATTGTAATTTATAAAAGCCCTCCTACGGACAAGTGTTGCAAATTAGCTTCGGCTACAAGCACTATGGTACATGCATGGGATGACTGTTGTTTCATTTTCATCTATGTTTATTGTATCTGTCCCTAACAAATAAAACATGAAATAAAATTAAAACCTTGCAAGAGAGGTCTGTAGATCCTTAGATCTTTCCCTTTTTCTATGTGGCCTCATAAAATATTTCCGAATTTTGATTGAAAAAAAAAAGTGTAAGGCTATATTTTTCCCATTTACTTCTGTAGATGAACTGATTACCCCAGATGTATCCATATATTTTCCCCAACAACGATATTTACTTCTGGATCATTTTGTTTGATAAATCAGTGAAATAATAAAATGATCATTTAACTGGGTTCTCTTTATTTAGTTAATGAAGACCTGATCACTATGCAGGAAAAATGTATGTAGTAATACAGAGTACAAAGTGTAGGGGTTCAAAAACTTCTATAGAAGTCAATATTGTGTAAACTGTACACACATCAGTGTACAGTATACACAATATTGACTGTTTTCTCTTGATAATAGATTTAGTTACTGCTGTTTGGCTGAGAGATATGGGGTTTTGTATTTCTCCTGAAGTATATGACGTATATTTTCTGACATGCAATCTAAGCGCATGAGCAATAGCTTGACCTGATGTTTATTCAGGAGACGGAGCCTGAAGTCTTAATCAGTGCCTTCTATATTTATCAACGGTCATTATAAATGCTATTGTTCTTGATAATGAGGCTTTTAGTTGGCTTTTTAAATAGTTTCTAAATTGACTTTATTTGAACTGTCTACCATTAGTGGATGAAAAACAGATTCGGAGAGCCTGTAATCTGATCATCCATCCAATGATCTACTGCTGAGAACTAATTACAAGGAATATGTATTTGAAAATAGGCTGAAGATTTCCTGTGGGATTAAAGTCAAGAATAAATTTGACATGGTTTACTCCCTCACATGACCCACCAAGTCAAATCCTTTTTGAGATGCTCATTTTTAGTTTCAGACCTCAGTATAAAGTGAAGGCAGTATTTCGTCAAAGTAATAGTTTGCTGGCTGTAGTTTGTGAGTCTGATGTTGACAGCTATGCTCTGGAGACCTCAGGTAATGTTTGCACACCTGGAGGCGAGTGTGGCGTTGCTCTGCTGACTAAAAACAAGAGATGCCAATTCAGTTGGTCACATTTTACATCACTTTATATATCAAAATAAAATTTTGTAGAGATCTGTTGAGAGTTTTACAAATTAGTTTGGTTTAAATGTTATTCCTGTAATGCATTCTTTATTCCATAGTATAAGCTAGAATATAATTGAATTGAAATTGCATGAAAATGCATTAAAAACTATATCAAATCAAATGCATTATTTCAAGAAAGCACAAACATGTTTTTCAAATAACAGTTCACAAAAAGAAGTTACAGTTTAAATAGAGTTAAATAGGAGGAAGCATTAAGGATGGACTTAAAACGACAATGATGTATTAATTTTTTTCTTTTCGCTTCACAGGAAGGTAATTGATTGACTGGAGTTGTGTTTTGGATTACTGTTATGTTTTTATCAGCTGTTTGGACTCTCATTCTGACAGCACCCATTCACTACGATGTAATGCTAAAATTCTCCATATCTGTTTGGATGAAGAAACAAACTCATCTACATTTTGGATGGCCTGAGGGTGAGTACATTTTAAACCAATAATTTTTTTTTTTTGAGTGAACTATTCCTTTAAGTGTGGCTGAAGTGCCATTCTGGGTTTGGAGTGTCACATGCTCCCATTTTATAAACATAACATCAATTGGGTTTAACATGCACAGAAAGAAATACCTATAATTGTGGTATTCACAAAATTAAAGAATTTTTAAAGTACTACCAATACATTTTGTTGTAAAATGCCATATGAACATGTTTAAAGACAAGAAAAATACAACATTTAGACAAGCATATGGGGTATACATGTCTCTCTTTTCAGCACATTAAAGGTGGATCATGTTAGACAAGTTCTGCCTAACACAACATGTTGCTCTGCAATTAGCACCATTCACATGTCTAGGAGAAAAAGCAACACTGACTGAAGAGTTCAAGTCTTGTTCGGCCTGCTAGTCCTTTTTTTATCAGCAAAAACCACAATACATAACAACTGCTATTATGTTACCTTAAGCTGTAACTTACAATAGACAATCAGGTGTGAATTTACTGATGATAACCCACCATAATGATTCATATCTGTAAAGCCCACATATCATTGTCTTGCTTTCTTGAAGTAGTGGAAAGAACCATGCTATTCCTTCAACGACAGGAAGGAAGTAGGAAAGAAGTCAATCTTTCCATTCTGGACCCTGGGGAATGTTTTTTGGAGCTGTCTGCTTGTATGAGAGGGGCTATTGTCTGTTAAACACAAGGGTGGTGGCTGTGAAAGTCTGAGGAGTGAAGGGGCTTAAGGGCAGGGAGCAGAAGACATTTAGGGTCCTATATGTGCACAAAAAGAGTTTTCACAAAAACAGGGTTTGTTTCAGGGAGACACTGACATCCATGGTCTTGATCATGGCATAAGGATGTTTCTGTGGTGATGGGAAGATATAAATAACAAGTAGGATGTAAAAATGTTTGACCTGGTATTTTGGGAATACATACATATGTTTTATATTTTTTCAGTGATTTATACTTTTAAAAAATATTTATTTATTTATTAATATATATATTTTAAATTATATATATAATATATATATTCTCTCTCTCTCTCTCTCTCTCTCTCTCTCTCTCTCTCTTTGGTAGGAGAACATGGTGGCCTGGAAAAAATGTTAAACTTTGCGGCTTGAATATGTATATCTCATAATCTTTATAGCACAACTATGCAGAATTTCCATTGTTTGGGGCGATGAATCTGATACAGAAAGATCACGGCCTGGTAAAAATTATATAGATGGGAAAGCAAATTTTCACAAACCAAGACTATAAGCCCAAGGGATTGTCCAATTGAATATATCAATATTTTCTCTACCTCTTTCATTCTGTCTTCCTATCCTTCTTTTTAAGCTCGCTCAAGTGTTGAACTTGATTGGAGCTCGAGGGTTGCTGTAGTATGTGAGGTCGTAGCCTAGGTTGTGACTAGACAGCACACCAGTGGTTTCTTCTGTTGAGAGTTTGTGTTTTCCCATAGAAGCTTCTGGATTACTGCACCAACAGTCTGTCTCTGACTGACTATTAATAGTTCTCCTCATATTGCTTTTGATAAACTTCCTGTGTCAGCATAGCACCAGCTGCAAATTAACCCTTTTATTTGATTTAGAATATGGGGACAATCATTATGTTCTGGGTCACTTGACCATAACTGGATTCAATCAAATTAATAAAAAAATCACATACCTGAAAAACAACAAAAT